GTGTATAATCATCTGAATATAAGAATCATCGTGTTTTCGTTACCTCGAGTCCGCCATGCTAAACCACAATGTTTCTACTGTAGCCCAGAAGGGACAAACCAAATACTGGCTCTAGATATAGGGCCTTTGGTGAGTTTCGTGGTCACCATAGTTTCTCCTACAGACTTGGTAGTGACGTGAGAGCGTTGCAATCAGCAACTACACAACTAGATGCCACTAAATCATACACACTGGTCTTTTAATGCAATTGTCCATTTGTGTGCATGTGATGCATGATACAATTAGAATAAAATAGGTTAATTCACACTGTCATAAAAATTCTTCAGTGAAAGTACTTTTAGGTGTAACTGAAAAAAAAATTTCATGTGAAATGGTCTTCTCATTTTAAAATTGGCAGACAATGTGCAACCTGAACATGACAATTGGCAAACTTGAGATAATCGATTATTTGATTGATAGAAAATAAATCTTGTTTGTTTTGTGTTGATTGTCCAAAAAAACGTCATTGTCATTTGAAGACAACTCCTTGGGTTTCAGGAAACTGATTTAATAAAATAATCATTACTTGCAGCCCTATATGAACTTGAGTCAAGTTTTTATGTACATTGCCTCTACTGGAAATAAGATGTAAACTGTAATTTTCATTTCACAGTTTCATGAAAGAGGCTGACAAGTTCTAATTATAATTTGTAATGAGGTAAAACTGGAAATGCTGTTCATGTTGTCTGCCTATTTGAAAGTCTTTCCAATTTCATTGTTATTTTGGTGCTATACTAAGGATTATACTTAAATTTATAATTTTGTCATTGTAGTTTTCATTTAGTCAGTACTGATACATTTTCAAACATTAAAACTGAATTTTGAAATTGTACTTTGAATTGCACACAAATGGTAAATTAAATTAAAATTTTTAAAGGTTTGGAGTCCCAAAAAGGGGCACAATGTCTACAACTCTTTGCCTTTCATCTGTTGTTTGCTTATATGAAGTTGTATTGCAGTGATATTAACACTGATAATCCCTTGTAAGGAAAGCTATTTTTATATGAGGAGCCAACACACCTAACAGGTGCAGGATCACTTTAAAGAAACTACCTAAATAAGGAGGAAGGACCCCACCAATAGCCGTGGTGTCATTTTTACTTGGAAGAAGTAAAGGAACCATCTGCTGTAATCTTTAAGTGTATGTCTAATTTATAGCCACTCTGAACCCAACACTACACTGAGGTTAAACACTCCCACTGGCTAAATAAAACTTTTATTACTGCTTGTCTTGGTTTTGGTTTCCTGCGCTTTTTAAAATCCCACATGAAATGAAAGTGTAAAAAGAGCCAAAAAAAAGAGTCCTAACAGTGTGGTAGTTTCAAGGAGTGTACTGGTGTTTTTACATGTTGTAGCCAACTATAATTTGTACTAGTCCTAAACCATTGTAGACTGGGAACACCCCACAAGAGCTGCAGTTTTGGAGATGCTCTGACCCAGTTGTCTAGCCATCACAATGTGGCCCTTGTCAAAGTCGCTCAAATCTTCCCACTGCCCATTTTTCCTGCTTCGTAACACATCTAACTTGAGGACAAAATGTTCACTTGCTGCCTAAATATCCCACCCAATCGGCACACACCACACCCACCCACTGACAGGAGCCACGATAACAAGATAATCAGTGTTATTCATTTCACCTGTCAGGGGTCATAATGTCATGGCTGATTGGTGTATGTATATATGTAATATATAAGACACATTTGTAAGCCAGTTTAATCACAGTTCAAAACTTTAATTCACATTAAATCTCTCATTATGCTTTATAGTATATACAGGAAGGTGCATTACCAGTACGAGAACAATGTACATATGTAACAATGTGTATAGATAGTACATAAAGTGTTGGCATTAATGAAAGTGTATATTAAATGTGGTCTAAAAATGGATGAAGATGATGGTGATGGAACCTGTATTGGGTAAGATTTGGTCATAGCTGAAACATGAGAGTAAACTCTGGGCTGGCAGTCACCTCTCCTTTCCTGTATGCTATGTTAGCTGTGATCCAGTTCCATTTGTACTGACTGGTCTGGAATGGACCTCCAATCATATAACGCTGTTTTTACCAGTTTTACCTCATCAATAAAACATGTCAGTCACTGCAGAGCACAACTGGACAAGCACAAGCACCCATTGTCTTTAAAGGGGAAACACCTTTTATGTGGATGTCCAATCAGTGTTGATGGTAACTGTAGTCCATTGAAGCAATCAATTTTCCAGTGCGTGCTTTATTGACTGAGAAAGCTGAGTTCTCCTGCTCGCTGAGCCGTGACGGCAGTGCCTACATGTAACAGGATGTATTGCATGCAAACTTTCTTTTTTGGATATATATTTCAAGTGCGCAAACATTTGATACCCACGCACACTGAGCAAGCAAAGTTAGCTACTGGGTGCTAAGTTACACAACGCTGCCAAGCAAATGAGTTCCTGCAGTTTGTTTCTTTTTCCACATGTAGCTATATCTTTACATTTTACAGCCTGTAGTTCTTCCTTGACACCAACTATATCACTGCACTGTCAAATGAAGGCGCTAGTGCTGGAAGAACAGATTTTGCAGCTGTTTCTTAGTAAATACAGCACGCAGGGAGGAATTTATTGCTTCAATTGACCATCAACACTGATTGTAAATCCACATAAAACATGAATTTTCCATTTAAGTTCATAGCATCAAATTCGGCTTCTTTAACGGCCAACATGCAGCTGAATTTAATGGGTACCTAAGGGTGCTTTGTCCAAGGAGTTCAGTGAATGAGTGCATTAACAGTCGATTTAACCATCCTCCATTCTGACTTCACTCACTAAATCATATGCAAAGAAACAACTCTACAAACCAATTCTTCCGATACAAAGGATTGTCCAGTGAATACATTGGATTTATCTGAAAATCAATAAAGCAAATGAAAACCAGCAGAGGATGCAGAGGGTAAAAAATACCAACACTCTTCTGTTAACTCATCAAAACTAATGCTGTCAGAAAATTAAAACACAACAAATATAATAATAATCTGTAATCAGGCATTACAGCAAACTGACAATTATAGCTCTGCAAAGACAAATATTTAACGTCAAAAGTTTTGGCCGAGGAGGTGAGAACTGTTCTGGCAACTAGAAGTCTTTCTTGTCTCATTTTTTATTTCAAGCCAAATTAATAGCGCAAACCCAGACCTCCCCCATTCTTCATAAGTAGTTGAACGAATTCAGGCTTACATGATATTAGCCAGATAAAGTCATCTAGGTATTCTCATCCAGCCAATTCAGTTCTTTCAACATAGGTGGAGGATAGATTTTCCAATCTAAGAGGTATCTCATAAAAGCATACTATTATTTTGAAATAAAACACGAGTAGAATCAGCACAGTATTATTGCTTGGCATAGTATTTTGGCTAAAATAGCAATGCAAGTAATATTCCTCACCCTCAAACTATAATTGGAATGATAATGGATTTTGGACTGATATCGATATTTGAGGGTTTTAAAGCTATAATATGTAACATCGTTTCAGCAGTCGCCTGTCAATGGTGTCCATACCCCTTTGTGCATGCGTCAGGCGTTGTGGTGTGTCTGCAGAAGCTGTCATTACATTGACTTTTTATCCAGTTTTTAGCCACATTTTTACCATCCCCTGTTTAGATCTTGGTGCTTTTTAACTGAACCGGATGAAGAATTTTAGTCTGGATCTTAAGTTCAGAGAAGCAAGCTGAGCTAATGTGAGCAGCAGCTCAGCTCGCTTTGTCTGCCCAACAGCGTGGGAGAAACAGTAATTTTTTGGAACTGTCTCTGATTGGTTGTTTTTGTTTAGGCCTGGTGAATTCTTCCAAATGTCATTAGGAGAAGTAGTAAGAGCCAGAAGAACCAGATTTTTTCAGATCATCTGTCTCGTGTAGTACTGTCAGGATATAACTTTCAGACACAGATAGAGGTCTGATTTATTACCTGAACTAATTTTATTTTATGATATAGTGTAATTGACCATTTATACAGCCATTTTATTTTATTTCTATTCTTGTGAAAGTTTAAATTATGAATTTTAGGAATATTTTTATTTTTATTAGTTTTTTTTAGAGCTTCAGATACACTTTAAAACAGGGTTGAGGAACTGAGAAAACATCTAGAGTTAAATCAAGTTAATTAAGTAATTGACATATGAAGAATCTGGTCTAAAAACAACAAATACTAAATATAACAGTGAGATCATTGTCGGTGTCCAATCTTCAGTCTTTTTTAATTCAAAGCATCACATACTGGTTTGTAATTGCAATGTCACTACACAGACTGTGGTCTACTGCATGTCAAATAGGAACAAATTCAGCATTAAGACCAGCAAATAAATAAAAAAAAAAAAAAAAAAAAACCCATCACAATGTGCTGTATTATATACAATTATCTCTGCCACAAAATGAAAAAAAGACAGCCAGACAGCATTTTGTGGTCTCTATGACCGTCTCTTTAAAGCTCCTAACATACTGTATGCTGCGCTCCAGAGACACATCACAGTCAGCTGGGGAAAGTGCAACGTGACTGCATTTCCTGTTGGAATTACAAGCATGGAGTCTGGTCAAAGGTTTCTCAACTCAGATTGTTCTGATTGTGACAACATTAATAACTAATGCTTTTAGCTAATTCATGACAAATCACAAACACTTAACATTACTGCTGATGAGCATTTTCCAAAGCAAACTGGTTTTGATTTTTTTTAATGGGCCGCCATTGTTACAGTATGAAAAACATACTTTTACAAACCTGAGGCTCTTTAACATTAATACATGCTTGAAAATGGTCCGCAGTTATGTAATGTACATGAGTGTGATTTGTGGTAAAAGGACAAAAACAGGCTAAAATTGTGCAAATACATTAGAATAGTCCAACTGACCCTTCCTAAGTCCCGCCCCTTTCTGGAACTTCAGTCAACTTCCTCCTTTCCTGTACTCAGAAATGCTATGTACTAGGGTCATCCATGTTAAAAATACAACCACATTTTGAAGAAAGAAATGACATATATATAGTCACATCTTAAGTTAGCAAATGTTAGCAGAACGCTAGCTAGCTAACTAAATGATCTACATCAATCTTTAGCTAGCTAGCACTTTAGTAACGTTAGCCAACTTAAAATGTGACTATATATGTTGCTTTCATCTTTTTACCATCTTCAAAATGTGGTTGTCTATTCAACACAGATCAGCCTAGCACATAGCATATCTAAGTACAGAAAAGGAGAAAGTTGGCTGAGGTTCGGACCGAGCCTTGCTCAACTGTCATTGGAGTAGAGCAAAAATGGGCGGGACCTAGGAAGGATCAATTCTGTTATCAGTACAGCATGTCCTAAAATCTGTATTCATGCATTCCATGCTAATGATGTCAGTTTGAACAATATCGAATGTATTTTAGGTGTTGAAAGGGGAACAAGATTTTCAATTAGGCTAATTCAATAATCCATGTTGCTTTCATTACACAAAATACACCATATTGGTATGCAACTGGTGTTTTTACATGTTTTAGCTGACAGATTACATATTGTGTACATTTCTGCTGACCAAAGCATACTGCGCTTTTTATAGTTTTTGAATGATTTTTTGTCTTAACTTCCAGGCGGTATCAAAATCATGCTTGTAGAGAACCAAAAATTGCTTTTTTTAATGTAATCCACAATTCATGTTGTTTTATTGTTTAAAAGTTTAGTTACCACTAGGTGGTAATGCAGGTGTAAGTGCAGGCTGATGATGCATTAAAAAAAAGAAATTGATAACCATTTTAGTCATAGGAGTCAATATATTTATACCGTGGCATATATTTGTAAAGTGAATATCTCTAGGATTTTTGATAAAAAAATAAAATATTAAGCAGATTAATTGATGCTGAGAATAATCTTTAGTTACAAGTGAATTTTCATTGCATGAAATGAAACAAACTAGCGCCTGGAAAATAGTAAAGTATTTAAAATTCTACCACCCTACAACATTACTTGGAACATGCTCAGCAGTGTTGTAATAATGCATACTATGTGTGATTTGTAGTAAAAGGCTAAAACATGCAAAAAGACTGGTAATGCCCTTTAAATTTTATTATCATCATCATGTCTCCTTTGAGATTAATAGACACTTAAAATGTGAATTTAGTAGTTATCATTCCATGTTAAGGTGGCACAATACTGAACACTCTTTTAGCTATTGAAAGAAGAGCAGAATTTTCCATTAGGCTAATTCAATAATCCCTGTTGCTCTGTGTCTTTCAGTATTCAGCAGTACAGGCTGTAACCCTTCTCTATCAGCTAGGACTTTCTGACTCGTGACTGGAACACAGCACCAGGCCTGCCTGTACCTCAGTGATGGAACTAAACTTTAAAAAAAAAAAAAGTGCAGTTTTGTCGTGGTGAGAAACCCCTCAGACCCCACAATCAGCCTGCAGTGCTCATTAGTGGGTGTGTGACCCTCCAGAATTTGGGGGCACAGTGGTACCCCCACCCCCCCTCTGTCCATGGTCTCTCCTGCCGTGGCCCAGGATACAGTGAGCACTGCCGCACCCTTCGTCGTCGTCGTCTCCCTCACTTTCAGAGGACGACTCTCCAAACTGTCGGGGCTTCTCATAAATACAGCAGCCTGGAACACAATGTAAAGGATTAGGATTGATCCAGATCATCTAAATCTACAGCTGATGGCCACACTGACTCACGTGAGCTCTTGATTCTCAGTTGGAACATCAAAAATACAGCATGACATGTACAGTCAGAAATAGTTACTACATTTGATGATGATTTGATAAATGTAGCAGCAGGAGGGTGGAACAGCACAGTTGTGTACAAGTTATTTGCATTTCAATATGCACCAAGTCTATGTATGAGTATGGCCTGAAAAATGATCACAATTCAGTGGTAAACATTTTTTAAGATTCCAGCATACAACACCTTTAACAACCCTAGGCTTTCTAGACACTACAGGTACACTTTAACTCATAGATATCACTAAGAAACTTCCCCAGTTGATTTTATTACCTACATCAAGACAATTAGTTTTTGTATTTCAGTATTCTGAAATGATATGTTTAAATATGCAAATGAGGCATTATCTAATTAAAATGCACTGATGTGCATAGATATTCCATGGAAATCATTTTATTGAAATATTAAGAGTCAAAACTCTTTTAATCACACTTTAAATCAGAAAATATCCATAAAAATCCATTAGGAATAAAATGTGATATTTATTTAGGTTATGAATGACATTTGAACAAACTTTTAGAATATAGATAGGAATAAAAGGTTTGGTGTGTATAAGTGCTACTAAAGTGGAAATTTGAGTGTGAGAAAAAACTCATTTTGAAAAAAGAGACTTTAAAGATATGTAGGATTTTTTAGATTATCTGGCATTTGTCAGTGCTCAAGAGGCTAATAAACAGAAAATGTCTTCAGACATATCTAAAGGCAGCATTTTCACTGTGAAAAAGTTTGTTTGGAGCCCTGTACTATAACTCTTTCTGTAAACGTCTGCCTGAATTTCCTCAGTCACCATTGTTTTTTCTAACGTTAACACGTTTCTCCAAAATGACAGCAATTATAATCTCACTAGCTGACGTTGCAGATGTATTATGTTCAAATAATGCAGTTGAATGACTTTTAAAATATAAAAATGTGAAATTATCGGCTATATTATCTGTATCGGACAGGAGAAGCAGGTACTATAAGTAGTATCGGTTATCGTATAGGCTATGAAAAAAATCCATATCGTGCATCCCTACTGGTCGTCTGATTCTTTTTTCACATAAGTTATGAATGTGTGCGAATAATTTGGAACTGGTTCTTGATTCCCATCCTTAATATTTGTACAGAATTTGTTTTCCTTTAGGATTTCTTAGTCAAAGAAAAAAGCTTTTAAGCCTGCCAGCGTGGCGCTGGTGTCAACATAGGATATTTACTCCTTGTTTCCAGCAGCATAGACGCATGAGTTTGTAGGGTCCCAATTCAATATCGATTCATTAAATACTCTAAATCGAATCGAATTTGCACTCTAACCATGAATGTACAGACAACCATCACTGGGTTAATTAAATACTAAAGAACACCTAAACCTGATGATTATGAAGCATGATCTCAAGTTATTAGGACTGTATTTTATTCTGTATTTTCAAGAACATTTATCTACAGTGGACATCCGACGTAGGCTGTCTTTAGTCTCCAAAACTTTCAAACTTTTGACCACTGTTTAGAACTGGCGGTCTCTTAACTTTTCTTAACAAATGGGATCTTATATCGACAATGGAAGTAATGATTGATTATTGGTTTCCTACACTGATATAAAGCCAATTTAATGACTTTACTACCAGAACTAAGAAGTTACAATCTCTAGAATCTGTGACCTACTGTGCATTTAGAGAGATTTCTGGTGTAGCGGCATGTCTGCCTGCTGAGCCCGTTAATTAGCACGCATTTTAAATCCTTAATTACAAAGCCGTCTCTCTTCCATGGACCTGACAACCCGCATCTCTTTTCTCCATGTTCCACAATGTTAACGTCACTTTTATGTTTGTATGGTGTTCAGAACATGCTGGTTTATGTTAATAATTGTCACATTTGTGCTGGTTTATAGTTTTAACCATTAGCGAGCTGGCTGTTGGATTTAGTTGTCTCTAAATCTGCCTGTCCCACTCCCCTCAACGATAGGATCATATCAGCAATCTCTAGCAGGGCGGCTGTGGTATAGCGCAGCTCCTCCCGCCGCATGTCAAAGTATACTTGAGCAAGATACTGAACATGATGCTATGCATTGGTGGATGAATTTGTATGAATGAATCCATGATGGACTTTGTGCACATCACTGTGTGAATTGGTGAATGTTTGATTGGACAATATGGAAATAGAAACGATCACCCAAACCTACAGCCCAAATTCACACAATGTAGGAGTGTGTGCTGACAAGGAAGGTGAGCTCACATTTTGAAGACCTTCTTCCCAGGTGCTCATTGTCAACAGTATCACTGGACCACTCCACCTTCTTCTCAGTCTTCCTCTTCCTCAGCTTGATTGTCAGGCTTCGTCCCTCCTGTAACATGAGAGGTCAGCTGTGAGGTACTGGGCATCAAATGATAAATCTTACTTTCATCATCATTTTAGCATTTATTATTATTATTAGGGTATTAAACGGATCCTGGAGTTAAAGACTGGAGTATGTATTATGGTGTCGACTCTCTGTCGGAGTAGACACACACACACACACACACACCTGCACAACTAACTACTTCAACACACAATCCCACAATCTCCGTCAAACATACATGCATACACATGGGACAAGTTTTTGTTTTCTGATATTTTCTTGTTTTAATGAATTCTAAGGTTTTCTTTGTCTTTTTCCTCTATAATTTATTAATGCAATACTGTCTTTGTTACACTCAATGCCAATAAAGCAAACTGAATTGAACTGAATTGAAATTAGTCTGTTGGGACAACTACGTTCGTTACTGGAAGTAAGTGCAATAAAACCGTTGCTAGTAAAAAACTATTTATTAATACACTGTTCAAAAAGCATCAACATGTAAACCTGTGGAGAAGTGATATCTGCTCTGTCAGCTTTCTCTCATCCACTCACGCTCACTCAGCTAATAGCAAATTGGTACCAAAATAAAAGCTGTACGTATGTAGTCTGTTTAGCTTAGTTTGAAACATATTTTAAAATCAAATTCTTGTTTTAAACTGAACTGCTGGCTTAGACAGCCTCTCCCCTCTCTACCAGCGTTACCTACAGACACAGTCACATCAGAGGAAAGGACGATTGACTGATTGACTTAACTCAGTATTTTGATGTTTCATGTTTGATTTGTTTCGAGTGAGATAATATTGAGTTTTTATAGTGACTATACTGTTGTAAACATTACTGTTGCTGCTCTAGAAACATTTATTTATTTTTTATATTCAATACTTACAAGATATACATTTAAAGACCACCAGACTGACATAGGAAAAGCTAATATGCACTCTTCAATATTTGTTTATTTATTGCATGTTATATCGTCGTCGCAATATCAAACAGTGTTATCGCACATTGCATAGGGTAGGAGCCAGGCCTGCAGTTCGTACAGATTGTATGCATATGGGGGTGTACTTTATACTATGACAGTTTTCCTCAAATTACATTTGAAACAAATCCCCTGGCTTACTGAATTGCAATATATCACAATACACTGATTTTCTGTATTGTAACTGTGTGTGGCCAGATTCTTGCCAATACACAGCCCTAACACCTAGTGCACCGGTAGATGATTTATTCTCATTGTTGAAATTCAGTCTCTTTTTAAAACGTATAAATATCACAATAAAATTTAAATAGATAATTTAACACACGGAAATGTCTTTAATAACAAAAACCAATTACAACAACAAAAAAAAAAACAATAATACTATAAATAAATAATTAATACAACGTGCATCACTCAAAACCCATTTATGCATGCTGTAACGTTACATATTATTTATACAGTCATATCTACCTACCTCATGCATATAAAAAAACTAGTATGTACGTTGAGAGCTATGTTATGTAAACCCGGAGTCAAATTCCTACACATAACTGGCCACTAAAAGTGATTATGATTCTTATCTTTTTAATCTTAAGTGCTTTATATATAAAATACTTATTATGTCTTGTGGTTAGGGGTTTAGACACAAGTGCATTGTCTTTGAGAATTGACACAATATCACAAAACAAAACAATGCAATACAATATTTTTCGATATATCATACGCCCCGAAACCGTACCAGAGTTAAATATGATCCGTTAATATGATGTAAGAGTTACATGACAACATTTAGCACATATCACGATATATAGCTGCAGTAATGTCAATAGTAACAGCTAACATCCAAGCGAGCACTGTTTATAAGCATCATTGAGCACTCATTATCTCTATAATAAGCTATAATAAACGCTATGTACAAGTAGTGCGGCCTCATTAGTGCAGTCCAGTCTAACGGCTCTGCGCTCTCCTTTAGCGCTCATTACAGTCCACACGTTTTCAGCCAGTATTTACCTGCTGGGGCGGCGGCGGTGTGCTGGTCTCAACAGTCTCCGTTATCGTCTCACTCGATGTCCCGGGAACCTCCGCCATACCTGGGGCTACTTTGCTAACGCTACCGTTAACGTTAGCTATTAGCTGTAAGATGTAACGTTAAAAGGTCCGGAGTCGAACGTCTGTGATAGACACTGTATGTTATATAACGTTAACGTAACGATATCTACAATGACTGACCTTGGTTCTTTAAAAGTGTATTCAAATTGAAGGTTGTCAACCTGATGATTATGAGCTGTTGAACACTTTGCTGAGATGTGGCTAACACAGAGTCAAGCTGCAAAGTGATTTGGTCAGACTCAAAACGGAAGTTTAATGTCTTTAAATCAAAACAGACTTGAAACGATTGTCAACCAACGGCTGGATTATGTGAATCGTGCTGTCACACAAATAAGCAAAATTCACATGAAACCACTGTAACAATATTATGTCTGCAATAAAACAACATTCAGTACATTACTATTATTTTTGGTGAACACTGTTTCCCTACATCGTTTTATTTTGAAATTGAGCAAGAATCCTTTGTTTCTTTTTCGTTTTAGCTTGACAGCGGAAGTGTGGTGGGGAAGACATTTCCAGGCGGACAGGGATTGTTTCCTGTTGTCCGCGAAGTTTTAACGATCCGTCAACTAACGATATCCTCATGCTGAGAATCAAATAAATATATATAAATAACAGAGTACTATGAAATGACAGAATTGTTCTCCGCGGCTATACAATGATGTCAGGTTTACATATGATTCGCAACGTTACAGAAATGCACTTTATCGGGTTTACAATGACAAAGTAGCTAGCTAAGGCTGGCATGTCTGAGTACTCAGTGTTATTGAAGCACCGTAAGTAGACTTAGCTAATCGAAATACTAACTGTCAACATAGATACGTTTATTTCAGGTCTAGCTAACTTATCTGAATCAACGGCCGATTCTTCCATTACTTGACTGTTTTTCCGTGTGTGTTTTTTGCGCAGTGCGTTGTTGAGTATGTGGAGGACAGGTCGTGTCCTGAATTTGAGGCTGGCAGGGAGAGAAGCAGCCAGACTCTGTTCCAGCAACCCACCAAAACCTTCACCCCCCTCTTCATCTCAGTCAAAGTCTTCTCCACGACCCCAAGCAGAGAAACAGAGGCGCAGACGAGAGAGAGAGGAGGCCATACTGTCAAGTCAACACAGAGTAAGTAGGAAAGAAGCATCAGGAAAAAATCCAAAGCTAACATGGAGTCTACAGTTCTGATGTTACATCCAACAGGCTCATAAGGAAAGAATATTTTAGTCAAAGTAACACTATAATGGCGAGATGTAAGGGCAGATCAAGAGAAATATTCACAAGGTTTCCAGAAAGTGTCATGGAGACTTTAAGGGGTGACAGAAATATATGCTGATTTATTCTCACTCATTATTATGGCACAATAATAAACATTGAATAGAAATAGCTAAAGGTGGCATTACCAATCAGTACATTGTTTTATTTCCAAATGTAGAGACTACTTTACTTTAATCTACTCATTAATGACCTGTCAAAGCTGATGTGTCACTAAACAGAAAAGCCTTGTGTTCAGGATCAATCATATGGTAATGTTAGGTCAGTGCTTTATCCATTAATAAAGGGGTACTCCAAGTATAGTAATAAGTTTAGTATTGCAACATGAAACATACAACATTACAACATACAGATTAAAAAAATGTCAAAATCGGTGTAGAAGAGGCTGAGATAGCCTGACTTTTAGTCGCTGGTATGGGTGAAGCACCAAAAGTACTGGATCCTACTAATCCCATAATGCAACTTGATGTGTGTTGAGTCTCATTCCCAGGGTTCAAAGCATCTGTATTTTGCGCCTGGTATGAGACTCCAACAATCAACTCATTTCTTGGCCTGATTGGTTTTTTTTATGATAAGGCCCGTTGATTTTGCTAATGGCTCCTAGGAGTGCTAGAACGAGCCAGAGGATCATGATTGTTTCACAGATTCTGTATTATGTACTACTGTTAGGATATAGTCAAAGTTTCAGCAAATATTTTGACAAAAATTAGCAGTTTTAAAGTGGTAATTACTATGAAATAAAAGGTATAGAAAAAACACAGTAGACCCAACCCAGTTTGAATGCTGAAATTTGTGTTTCCAGACTACTGCAAATGAAGAATTGAAATGGAGTGAGAAGCAGAAGATAGCATACACCACTCAGACACCTCCTGGGACAAAGAAAGGTGACTGACTTCCTGTCACATGTTATGGACTTTTACAGCACCATCTTGTCTGTTGTGTCTTTCTGCAAACTTAAAAAAGCTGTTTTTTGCAGACACCAGCTTGCTGTTCCCATCCGCGTACATTCCAGAGTATGTGGAGTCCAGCTGGTATCAGTGGTGGGAGAAAGAGGGATTCTTTAGTCCAGAGCAACATGTGAGCATTTTAGAACAGAATTAAATGTAACAACTTCCTAAAAGATTACAAAATTTCACACAGATGTTTAATGCTATTATTATTATTAGTAGATGCATACGTTACGTGCAGGAGGAGGATACCTTAGCTGTTGTTGATTATTGTGCTGTGTATTTCACTATGGAAGCAATGCAGTACCTCCCACACTTTGTGGAACTGATGTATGTTATGATTAATGGATGCGGTCAGTTTCTCTATTGTTATGTCCTCTTTAAAGCTGCAGTAGGTAACTTTTATAAAAATAGCCTTTTGTCATATTTGTTGAAATTTTCAGTACATCCTGACAGTAGTAGATGAAAAATCTAGTAAGTCAGAAGATCTGGTTGTCCTGGCTCGTTCTAGCGCTGGTAATGGCATTTTCAAGAATCCACCGAGCCTGAACAAAAACAACTAATCAGAGCCAAGAAAGATATGAAGATGCTTTTGGTTGGAAGCTTGAAGTAAGTGGCATTTGCAAGAATCCACTGGGCCTGAATCCAAAAACAACCAATCAGAGGCAAAAGTCTCATTCCCAGGGTGTCAAATACAGACACATTGGGACC